CAATCTAACAAAAAACATGTATTTTGGTTACATTAAATGACGCAATTTTTTACGTATTGTTTCTTCTTTTTCTATTTAAGTATAATTTGTTGTACAAAGCTGTGTAAAGCTTCACAGCTCAAATGTTCAAAGCTTGTAGAAAAAAATCCTTTAAATGTATAATTAAAAATATTCATTCCTTGCAAAAAAAAATTAAAATTATTTTCTTTATAATTTCACAGGTTTAAGCTACATTTTGTAAATAAATAATTACTTAGTTTCACTGTTTGGATCTGATTTATTTACAAGATGGTTAAAGTTCAGTCTTTCTCTTAATAGTGTATTGAGCCAATATACATTTTCTATTAAGACAAATAATGCAGAGTTGTTTCTTACTTGTTCAAGTCACTTAAAGCAATTTTACAAATTCTTTTTTCAGGTGAATGTACAATATCTCTCATATTAACAATGTATTTAAATCATTCAATTTGATTGGCTTGTCTGGGAAAGCCAAGACATAACTAGGTCAATCTTTTCTGGACATGCAAGCCATTATATCAAGTAGTACAAAATGCTTAGTTATTTTTTTGGAAAATAATTTGGGTTTTTTCTTTTGAATTAATTTATTGATCCCAGATTATTGTGTTTGCCACTTTTAGGTAGAAATTTTCTTTTTTTGTACGCTAAATGAAAATTTGTATTTTTATGCTCGGTTTTGAATTATCTAAGAGTGCCATTTCTTTTTTCCATCTTAACCATTCATGCAAATAACAATCATTCATGCATTTCGTAAACTTAAGTTTGGTCTTGGTGTATTGCATTTTGTTAGGTGTTTTATTTTTTATTACTGTAAAGGACTTTGGTACTTTGTTTTTTTCTATACTATATTTACTTTTGTCTCTTTCATTTTAGGTACAATAATTTAGTAAGATAAAAAGTTGTCTGACTTGTGAGAGTCTTGAATGAAGTTTTTAAATCTACAGGTAGTACAGTGTGTGTGAGAGATACCACAGTATATTGTGCCAAAGGCCAAAGTTTATTTGATAAAACAATTCCCCACACCTTGAATTACTGAAGATTACACGTACCATTTCAACAGTTCAGTATTAATCAAAGATAAAACACTGATTATGTGATTATAAGGTATTAAACACATTTGTCAGATATCCAATCAAACACCGAGAAACATGCAAGGTATCTATAAAATATGTTCAGGAAATTTAGTTATATCTATTTAAAAACAAATGTGTTTCTAGTTTACATTTCATACAGCCTCTTCTTTTTATACTACAATCTTTCACTACAATTTTTTTATCTTTGGTGCACTCTCTATTAAACCAACCACTAAAAAAGTTTTTTATTCTTTTTATAAGACTGTACTACAAGAACAGCTTCATTGCGCAAATTATTTTGACAAATTTCATTTACTTCAGCAGAAATTTCTTCTGGTACAAAACACTATGTTAAAACACTTATACTTTCTTATTAATATATCCCAGAAAATAAGCAAAGTTCCTTAGAAAAAGAAGCAAAACATGATACCGAAACCCATGACAGTCACTATTTTTCAGAATAAAACTATAATTTTCTTCAGAACTGAGATAAAGTATCACCATAATTTCAATCAATTTGTAGGGACAATATCTATTTAATTTTATGCATTATGATTTTCTGAAAGGCCTTTCTGTCATTATAAATTAGCCCTAAATGAAATCCTGAAGTGTACAGGCATCTTTTTTAATTTATGTATTGTTAGTTATTTTATTTGTAGTTTCTTATTATTATATTCACATCTTTAAATGTTTTATAACTATAAATATATCATTATACTATAAACATAGTATCATTTCTAGCTCTGGAGTAAATTTTAAAATGTCAACGATGTTTTCTTTTCCACTGATCATTGAGTAAACATTTTGTACTTTAAATTATATGTAATTCTATAACTTGGCTTTCTTTGTTTAATTCATTTGATATTCTTCAACATAATAATAGTCATTTTATTCAACCTTTTTCAAATGAAAAACGCCTAAATACATTTCAAATTACAGCACCTAGCACTGCATTAAGTAACTGGATATGTAACTGATTATTAAAAAATTACACATATTGACAAAAAAACACTGCAACTGTTATGTCACCACACCTTTCAATCTCTTTTCTTTCTCCTCCAAATGCAACTACAGTTCTTATTGATGATAACACTTCTTCAGCTACAGCACCAGCACTCCCATAAGCTGTTAACTCATTTGCTGATAGTGTGGCTTGGACCTGAGAGGGACAAAGTACAAAACATCAACAATTATTACTGTAAATATGTCACTCAAGATAAGCATATAAAAATATTTACAAGGTCATTGATAAAACAGCTAATTCAATCTTGTGTGCAGCAGTGGAAGGACTTGTTTTTTTATATATAACAGGTTTGATGTACAGGTAGTCTACTGTAAAACTTGATTATACTAACAATTTATTAATACAAAAAATCTATTTTATACTAGCATAAAAAACCTACACTCTATTGCAGAATTGTAAGGTTTTCTCATGACTTACAGAGGCTTCAATGTACCAGTCAAGCATCTCCATTATCTTAATTACTTCTATAGCTACCCCAATGCAACAATTCTTTAATTGATTTGTCTGTTGCCATTTCCCAAACTTAATTCAATTCAACTCTTTTTAAAAGCAAATAGTTTTAATTTAATTTCTCAGATTCGTTTTTTTCCCCTGTGTTTGTATTTGAATTCTTTTCATTCTACAAATTCTCCATTATTCTCTGATTCATATGTTTCTTCTCATTGTTTGTTGCCATTTCCCAAACTCAGTTCAATTTTTTTTAATTCTCAGATTTGTATTTTCTTCCCATGATTGTGTTTGAATTTTTCATACTCCAATATTCTTGAACTGTTTTGTTTGATGCCATTTCCCAAACTTATAAATTATTAAAGCCTTATTTTTAAAGCAAATACTTTTCTCTTTTTTACACTTTTTTATTTATTTATGTTTGAACTCATATTGAAGAATCATCAATATTTATCCACTAGTTTGTTTGCAGCCTTTTCCCAAACTTAATTCAGTTCAAAATTTCTGAATGCAAAATTAATTTTAACTTTTACATTCTATTTTTTTCTTATTTTCTTTTTTCCACTAATACAGATGGAAAATAATTTCAACTTTATTTTCTAGTTTTTGGCCTAGCCAGCCCTGTGGCCAGCACCATTGCTGATTCCATTTCCTGAATTTAAAAAAATACAATACAAAATTACATATTCAACTTTTGTAAAATAGACTATTTTCTTAATGTTCATGTACAATCGAAGGCCAACAGGCTGAAGATTGTACAAATGCAAGGAAAATTAAAATTATTCAACTCTATTGTTTTTTCATGCACCAAAATTCCTTAACTGTTTTGTTTGATGCCATTTCTTGAACTTTATTTATATAAACCTTTTCTAGTATTCTGAGGGTCTGTTCCATGGATCCTGATGTCTTTTTTCCCTTCCTGTTGTTTTTGACTGGCTAAGAAATGTTTGGCTCCATACCCTATTGAATTTTGTTCATTTTTTGTAAAATATGTCCACTTTTTCCCAATTTTGGCAGACATTTTGACTATTTTTTTCTTTCTCAACAGTATTTTGCAGAAAACCTCCACACCTTAAGGAAGTAGATTTATGGGGCTTAAGGGCAAAACTATACAGCAAATAATTAGCCAAAATATTTTTGAGTCAAATGTAAAAAATAATACCCAGGTGCACACTCTCAAAACCCTCTTAGTATGCCTGCAAAGTTTCAGATCTCTAGGATCTTTCCTCTTGGAGATATGGTAGTTACATACAGGCATGCTCTTTTATTATTATAACATAACATAATGTTTGGGAACCTATTGGTTCATCTAGGCTATCCTATCCTCTAAACTAAACTATTAATAAATAAAGTAAA